CCGAAAGATTTCGGAACCGACATCATTCCGATGGTATGCCACAACCGCATGATTGATCTTGACAAGACCGTCCAGAATGTTGAGCAGGTTGACCTCATCCTCTGGCGAATCGAGCGATTGAGCAGATTGTTTTCCGGATGTTCTCGACATGTTCCAAAACAGGGCGACCACAGAGAATGCCGACGACCAGTGGAAATGAATCCTGACGGATCCGTTGAGCTCTACGATGCATTGGGATGCATTACACATGCGAGGAACTTCATGGGCAATAAGCCAGGACTTTTCCTGATGGCTATGTTCCCGATTATGGAAAGGCACGTTTCGAGATTGCTTTCGTGTATCCATCCGTGGACGGGTCATACAATGAACGCAAGGACAAGGGATGCATTGTTCCAAGGAATCGATGGATTGACAACCTCACATCCAGATCCGCATATGATGCACTCAGGCCTGATGGCAGAGGATTCCTCAATGATCCAGAGATTGAATTCTACGTGAGATGCAACAGCGGTCATGCTCGACAAGTCGATCTCCATTACTTTGGACGCCCCCTTTGGCCTGGACAGAAGAGTGAACCTCGTCAAGAAGAACCGGACTACGATCTTCCAGCAGAATCCATTCCTCCAAGTCCGCATCCTTCAAGATCCGACGCGCCCCATGAAGATGAAGGCGCAGCCCAGGCAAAATTCAGAATGCGAAGGCCGGCGCCACCATCCATTGAAGAAGGGAGAAAAATCAAGCCGTTCGCGAAGAAGCCCATCACGTTCATGTTCCATGCAACATATGGAGATCAGCTGATCAGCATCATGGAGAACGGGCTCAAATTTGTGGAAATCCCAGTCAAACCCTTCGGGGAGAGTGCGCATCCACATGGCATGCATCGACGACGTTATCCTCGACGACGACGCGCCAGAAGCAGCATTGACACATGTGCCAACAGGAAGAGATGCATTGTTGATCCTTGCATTCCTCAAGGACCAGGACTATGGCATCCGACTCTCCGAAGAGCGAACAGCATTGACAGAACAAACCATCGAGGCGAAGAATATTGTTGCAGCATTTGATCCTGATGGGAACGTCATAATGAGCAACAACTGGATCATGAAGAAGTCTCTCGGTCGTGAAGACGTTGAGATGTACAACGCCAAGATCCATGAATTCGCCGATGCCTTCTTCAAGTATGTGGGTATCGACCAACAAAGCAAGGAAAAATCCGAAAAAGATACATCCACAGAGACCAAGAAGCTTCATCTGCTTCATGGAGAAGTACGACAGGGAGCCAAAGAGAGCTCATCCCGAATTGACAGAATGCGAGCGAGCCTCATTGGCACGTGTCGATCCAGATGTCAACCTCGAGGAAGAAGAATTCTATTTCCACCACCGAGGAGAATTGCCATCCATGGAAGAGTTCAGGAAGGCACAGCCAGCGTCAGGATATCCGATCAAGCTTCCAATTGGATTGAAGAAGCTCAAGACATATGACAAACCAGAGGTCATCCAGGCATTTGCTAACATCCTGGGATCGCTGATGCAGCCAACTGACCGCTCTCCTGTGGACCATCTCAAGGCACATGAGTTCACCTCCGGAAACCTTACGAGGAATCCAAAGCTGGACAACAAGGAGGTGAATAACATGGCGATGAAGGATCGACCAATCACGAGGATGATGATGCAGAACAGCGCGCGCATCATATGCCTAAATGAAGCAGACGCATTCCTCAGTCCTCAAGATGAGAAATCCAAGGAACTCATCAAGACGTTCATCAGGTTTGGATACAAGGGCATAGTTATCAAGCAATGGTCATCCAGACCAATCGCATGCTTTGGCGGACCTTCCGCAAGAGTGGAACTATTGGCACGACACATTTCCAAAGAGTCAAAACTGGGGATTCAGATGCTTCTTCGGAACCGAGAACCATTGCACTGATGCCGAATACGACATCCCGACCTCTGACTGCCTGGCAACCACAGGAACATCCATGTTCAAGGAATACAAGAAATACATTGGATCGAGGTTGCCACCACGCACAACTGTCCAAGGACACGGGCGCAATAAGGAAATTGTCGTCATCCACATCGAGCAGAATGATGAATTTCGTGGCGTGTTTCCAAAGTCATCCAATGATTCACTCCTCGCATTCGACAGCCGCCATGTGACGAGGGCAGACCTCCCGTTTGCTACCATTGGAGTTTTTCACATCTATCCATGAATCAGCCATGGAGCAGCACGGGACGATTTTCAAACCGAAATCATGCCGCTCGTGACATTGTATAAATGCGATGCGATCGCCGGCGCCAACAACTCCAACAGGTCGACAATCCGGCCAACGGTCTCATGAATATCCTCATGAAGGCATACCAGAGATTGTGGAATGAAACGGAGAACTTGCCACTCGTGGACAGAATGGAATATGCAATGGAGACTTCCTGCACCCTGAAATCCATCGTCCGTCATCACCTCTACATGAAGACTGGATCCGGGTTTGATCGAACATTCCCAGATGTCATGATGACTTTCGTATTTGGACGGGGTAAGACAAACATCCAGCAGGATTTCCGGAAGGAAGAGATGGACGCAATGAAAGATGGTCAACTGGAAACCATGCGGAACGATCCTACGACTGCCATTTTCGACTATCAGGTCTCATCCGCGGAACGTTTCAAGCACGTGAACAACGAGATGTTCATGAATGGCTCTCAAGATTCCGACTCACACAGTCCGCTGATGGTCTACATCCGCAGCAGATCTGCCACCAAGCAGCGAAACTTTGAGCAATCCAAGGAGTACTTCAAGAAGAAGCAACCCTGGACTCAGCAAGATCATAAGGAATACAACAAGCAGCAGTGGGGCGACCTCCTTTGGTCTGAGTGATCCGACAAGGAAAGAAGTTTTTCTGAAGCTCGACTGAGAGAACACCCGAAATCGGCACTACGAATTTCAACCGAATTGATCCTCACCGCCAACAAGACTATTCAGTGAGAGATCAATAGTTTCACATCCGTCCCGCATGTACATAGCGTTGTACATCATCTTTGAGACACATCTAGGTATCTCACAGAATCCCATTTTGCAAATCAAGACATTTCATCCGCGCAGAAAACAGGATGAATCCAGTATTTCAATACACATGGCTACGGCATAAATCAAGGCTACGGCCGAAGGCCAAGAAGCCACAGATATTTCATATCTAGTGCCGGCGATCAAAAGAAATCTGTGTCTGTTTTGTGTCTGTTTTTGACCAATGTTGATCGCCCGCAACCATTTGGCTCAAGGCCCTTCTGTACCATAGCAGTACTCATGATTGCGTGACAAAGGAACCTTTGCAGGCCGCTTACAGGATTGTATAACAAGTCAACCCACCAGGGGCAATCCATCCTCCAATCATCCATATTGGCACATTGGACTCTCGCCGGAATAGATCCAGGACCACATGAACGACCTCTACTACCACAAGGTACCAGTTCCCTTCTGGGAGGGGGGGGGGGTTACCAGTTCCCTTCTGGGACAGGTATGCCCGGCCACCACACCCACCACACCCACACCCACCACACCCCCCCCCCCCCCCCCCCCCCACACCCACCACACCACACCACCCACACCCACCAACCCACACCCCACCACCCCCACACCCACCACACCGCCACACCCACACCCACACCCACCAACACCCACACACCCACCCCCGCCCACACCACCCCACCCCCCACCCACCCCCGCCCCTTCCGCGCCCACCCCCGCCCACACCCCCGCCCACACCACTAGTCCCGCCCACCCCGCGCCCCCCCGCGCCCACCCCGCCCACCACCCGCGCACCCCCCCGCGCCCCACGCCTGCCCCCCCGCGCCCACCCGCGCCCCCCCGCGCCCCCCCCGCGCCTCCGCCCCCCCCGCGCCCCTCGCGCCGCCCGCAAGCCTGCGCCCGCAGCCCAGCGAACCCAAGCCAGCCCGCACACCCGCACCACACAACCCCGCACCCGCACACCCGGCACCCACCACCCACACCCACAACCCTCTACACACACCCACAACTGACACCCACACCCACAACTCACTCACCACTCAATTCATCATTAAAAACACCCATAAAACTACAACACCTACCCGCGCCCGCACTCCGCAACACACGCCCGCACCCGCACAACCCACACCCGCACACCAGCACCCCACCGCACAAGCGCACGCGCACAGCGCAACCGGGTCACCGCACAAAGCGCACGCGCACATAGGCAGCACCGCCCGCAACGCCGGCACGCGCACAGCCGCAAGCCGCACGCCGCACAGCCGCACCGCAACAGAGCGCACACAGTAGCCGCACGCCGCACGCCGCACACGCGCAACTGCCGCCAACAGCGCACACGCACGCGCGACCACAAACATACAATACCACAAAGCGCCAATCGCACCCCCACCCGCACCCCTACACGCACCCCCACACGCACACCCACACGCACCCCCACACGCACACGCACACGCACACGCACACGCACACGCACACACGCACACGCACACGCACACGCACGCGCACACGTGCACGCACACGCGCACGCGCAGACGCCCACACACACAGACACACGCGCAGAGAGGCGCACAGAGACACACCCGCGCACACGCAACACAAACGCACACACGGAAGCACAACCACACACACTAACACATGCGCACAGATGCATGTGCGCAAGGGGCACACACACTTGCAGACACCCACACACGCAGACACCCACGCACGCAGACACACACACACACACACACACACGCACACACGCAGAGACACACACACACACGGAGACACACGCGGAGACACCAAAACACACAAACGCACAAAGACCAGCGCACACAAACACACACATGCGCACGCACATGCAGGCACGCACTGACAGACACACACACACACACAGAGACACACAGACACACAGGCACACACACACACACATGGGCAAAACATAGGGACGCATGGGCATTCATATATTGCAAGATTTGCTCATCTGCGCGTGGAAACAAAGGCACAGCGAGCTTCGCGCGTTCATGCAGAAGCGGCCAGCGATCCTGATCGAGTTTGCGAAGTCGGAGTCCAAAGACAAGTGCCACCTGTCCGATGAGACAGCGGCAGACAAGGCCTGCGTTCCAAAGCGGGGTGCGCTGTCAGGACTGGCTTGGGCCTCGTGGCCCGCGTTGACCAGGGGTGCCAGCAGCATCTTAGTTTTGCGCTTGCGCTTTTCCAAAGGCATGAAGAAAGAATGAATGATGTGATCCAATTGCCACGAAAAGCGGACGTTGGACGGTGGAAGACGGCTGTTGCCCATTTGAGGGTTCAAGCGATTGGCCATTGCCGGCGGGCACGGTTCAGTTGGTGCTTGGCTGGCTCGGCGCTTCGGGGCGCACACTTATTTCTTCTGCAAAACTAGCCCCAACCACGGCCCGCCCGCAAGAAGCCGCGCTAAATCCCACCCCGATTCAGCCAAACCTCAGCAGTCCTCCGAAAGCAACACGACGCAAGGTTGAAGCCGCAGCCTCTCCCTGGCTGAGCCCGGGATAAGATGAAGAAGGAATTACTGTGCGTGACAAACATGCGCGCGCGTGGTGGGGAACACACGAAGAAGGCGCGCCCGCATCGGTGTCAACCATCTCTGTCTCGACGCCTATCTGGCACGATCTTGGCGCGGTCGCGAAAGTCTCGCAAGGTTTCATTTGCGTGGCAGGAGCAGGTGGATTTCGTGGCAGGCGCGGAGAGTTCGCAAGGCCAGGTGCAGACTTTGTGGCAGGCGCAACACGTCTAAAAGGTTGATAAACGGAGAGCGCTTTTGCAAGGTTGATAAACAGAGGGGGAGATTGAGGCAGATGGAGAGAGATAGATGGAGGGAGAGAGAGATAGATATATTTCGAGAGAGACAGACATGGTAGAGAGGGAGAGAGAGAGACAGAGAGGGAGAGAGACAGAGAGAGAGAGAGAGAGAGAGAGAGAGCAAGAGAGAGAGAGAGAGAGAGAGAGAGAGCGAGAGAGAGAGAGAGAGAGAGAGAGAGAGAGAGAGAGTGAGAGAGAGGGAGTGGGCCAGCAGACATGGTTGATTGGACTGGGCGTAGTGAGTTTGGGATTGTTTGTTTGACTTTCACAGACTTAAAGTTGTCCCAGGGCAGGGTTCTGGCCGGGTTCAGCCAGGGAGAGGCTTCACTTACGTCGTGTTGTTCTGGGAGGATGGCTGATGTTTGGCTCGGGGTGGGCCTAAGATCTTTCCCTGCCTCCCCCCCTTAAACGTTTTTCCCCCCTTTCAACCCCTGAGATCCTTTTCCCTTTTCCTCTGTTGCTCTTTTCCCGCCTTCCCCGCTTGAGATCTTTTCCCCCCTTCCCCCCCCCGGGGATCTTCTCCCCCTTCCCCCCCCTTCCCCCTAAGATCTTCATTTCCCTTCACTTGCCTTCACTTCCCTTCATTTCCCTTTGTTTCCATTTCTTTCCCTTTGCCTTCATTTCACTTCATGTTCTTCATTTCCATGCATTTCCCATCATCCGCATGTTTGGGCGACACTGATGCGGGTGATGCAGGTGATGCTGGCGATGTTGCTAAGGATGCAAAAGCGGACCCGGGGGAATCGAACACCCCAATGTTTCAACGCAACTGTGTCGCGCAGCCCCCGAGACGAAAGGATTTAATCTACGAAGAGGGAACGTTTAGGAATCGGTACGTGGCACCCCCCCCTCCTCGAAATGTCCAACAAACTACGTGTTGTCGGCGGATAATAGTGTTTCAGCCCACGCACCGACTGAACAATCGCTTGAAACCTTGAAATGCTCAACAGCCGTCTTCCACCGTCCAACGTCCGCTCTTGGTGGCAAGTGGATCACATGGCAGGTCACGTCTGTCACTGCGCACGGCCCCCCTGCATTCCACGTGGAATCTCAAAAAATGTATTTGTCAGAAGGGACTCGACTCCTTTAAAATCGGTTGCATTTTGGGTCCGTGCTTTCCGCACTCGCGACAGTGGCAGGAGCAGTTGGGCACCTTCCTGAATTACTTCATGCTCGTGCCCGGGTACAGCACGGAGGATGTGCATGACACGGATTTGGACCTCCCGGAGCACTGTCAGGAGTTTATGCAAGGCATGTGGCGCGCGGACGTAAAGCGAACCGTGGCCAGGGTGGCGGAGACTTGGCCCCAATCGCGCGGCGGTTCAGCGCCAGTGTGCCACAAATAGCCCTTCGGCCCTTTCCCTGCGAAGAGCCGTGGCTTGAGCTGAGGACGGGGAGGCGGAGCTGGAGAAGGAGCCTGGCCCAGTGGCGGGCAATTCGTCATTGGTCGAGGTGGTGTCTGATGCCGCAGAAGGCGACTTGGCGGCATTTGGCAGAGTTCACGGACGAAGGTCGACTCTTGCTGGCTTGCTAAGGTGAGAGCTTCCGGGCGGAGGGCGGGGACACTGCAGAGACTGCCGCCGCTCATCCGCATGGCTAACAGCCGAACTTGTGCTCCCGGTTTGACTCGCTTGCGCAGGAGGTTTTCTTCATCCTGGCCTGCGTCGTCGTGTGCCTCGTGTGCATGATGTTGGCTTTCGGGGCAGTCCTCAGCTTGACGGGTGAAAACCCCAACTTCGCGGCCTTCTTCGTTTGTGGGATGCTGAGCGGGCTGCTCCTCTTTGGCGCCTTTGCCATGGCCGGGCCCGTGGGCATTGCCGCCTTGGTGGGCATGGTTGTTGTGGTGTTCTTCTTTGCCCCGAAGGGCGTGAAGTGCCTTGGCGCTTGGGATTCTTTCGGTCGGCTGGTTGGGGCTGCGGAGAAAGGCCCAGCGCAGAGCTGAGGCCTCACCAACTTTCTGCCCTCCAGCTAGCAGCGCTAAGCTCGTGAGCGCGTGCCGCGCAGTTGCCTGAAAGGAAGGATCGGCTTCGAAGAAAAACATGCGACCCGCGCTTATTCGAGAGGCTCTTAGTGCATTGCGCCGGCGTGGCGCGGTGACCGCTTCATTTGGTCGCACCTAGCGTTGTTGGCGGCCCTAGCAAGTTGCTACATTCCCACCTGTTTTTCAGACCCAAACATGTCTGAGGTTGATCGTCTCGCATCCTATACCAGTCGCAGTTTCATTGAAGGCCCCAGAAAAACTGCCAACGGCTATTTCGGGTTTTCCTTACCCCTGTTTGAGGGTCCCTCAACAAGAACTTGCGAGCAAGCCACACCCATGCTTGGGCACAGCAGGTACAGCAACCTGCTCGGTTTGACCTTCGCACAGCCATGGTTGTGGCAGAAACCAGCCCAGGGTTGGAGAAGTCAAGGATGGGCTTGGGGCTAGCGGGCTTTCTCTTTTTTGGTGCTCGGATGGGCTTTCCGCGAGGGCTTTGGAGGTCTGAACAAGCTTCAGGGTTGCTGGAAATTGAGTCTTCGTGCGCGCTCGGCTCCGCGTACAATGTGTTGCTGTTCCCATGGCATGGCAAATATCGTGCGCATGCCGGCGGGTTCCAAGTGAACACATTTTTGGAGTTGGTTTCAAAAGGAAACCAACCAACACAATTTTGGGGCCCTCCGAGTTTGACAATTTGACGCACATGGAAAGTAGCGGTTGTTTCTTTGTTGAACTTCTGGCGGGTTTTTCCGGAACTTGTCAGGCGCTGCTAAACCAGATTCCATCTATCTGGGGCCCGTTGGTGGTTTCCGCCAACGGCTGGTGCAAGATTCTCCACGCGCCCGGCATCTCCAGGCCACCTAAGACCAAGCGAGAGAGAGACAAAGAGAGCAAGACAGAAAGAACAAAATAAGGAGAAAAGGGAAGGAAGAACATGAGAAAGAGAGACAGTTAGGTAGGTTGGAGAAGCAGCTTAGCTACAAGAAAGACAGGGTAGCTCCACATACCTAGCAATGGGGAGCAAGTCACTAGTTCGTTAGTTTTGAAAGAACTAACTATTGGCTCGGCCTAACGTTTGTTTCAAGACGATAAACAAACTTATGGCCGTTTACGGAAGCTTTGCTTCTCTGGACAACAGATATGTCTTCTGAGGTCATGCTTCTAAACTTTTGTCGCATGCGCGGATATGTTAGTCTCCAATGCAGAAACAAACGCTTCCGGTGTGAAAGATTTGTTTCTGTCTCGAAAACAAATTCTTCCTGTGAAAGTTTGTTTTGCCTGGAGAAACTTGTCTGAAACCCTAGAATGGCTAGTTTGGGAAACAAGCGTTTCGTCGGAGAGTTTAGTTTGTTCGTTTCCTGGGAAATTCTGAAAGGAACCTCAGAGGTAGAATTTTGGTTCGCATACCGAAACTAGCTTTCCAGACACTACTGAGCAACTACTGTTCCAGCGCTAAAAATAAACATGTCGCGATCTCGGGCTGTGGGTTTGTTTCTCTGCGCGCAAACTCTAGTTTCGTCAGAGTGTTTGTTGTGTCCACGAAAATGTTTGTTTCGAAACCTTTGTTTTGGTAACGCTTTCCGCGGCGCAGCGCGCCATCGCGGCTCCGCAGACTTGGCTCTGTGCTCGCACCCTTCGTAGGGTTGGTTTTTGGGGTGGGTTTAGGATGGGTTCGGGGTGGGTTGGGTTGGTGGCTTGTGGGGTATGTTTTGGTTCAGCGTGGGTTCCATTTTGGGAGGGTTGTCATGGTGGGTTTACGCTGGGTTGAGTTGGTTTGGTTGGTTACTTGGGTGTTTAGGGTTGGGGGTTGGTTCAGGCTTATACCCGCCCAACACCCGGGGGTTGTTTTAGGTTTGGGGGGTGAGGGCTCCGCAGGTTTAAGGGGGCGGGGTTATTTGTCTGTTTTTTTAATGTTTTTTTTTTTTGGGGGGGGGTTGGCAGCGAGGGAGTGCTGTTCATTTTGTCAGCATTTCGCAGGCATGATCCTGCATGCAGCTTCCACAACTTTGGTGGCATTTGAGTGCGCGATTTACCCTGTGCAGCTGTTGTTGCGCACGTTGCACGCATTTCTGTTTGACTTTCACATGCGACCGATATGCTGTGGTTGTGTGTCTTGTATGCATTTTCCATGTGAGTCCTGTGCAACTGTTTTACGCCTTGGGGAGCCAATGGAAGAAGGGAGACACTACTGGAGAAAGTTCGTGGTTACAAGCTCAGATCACAAAGCCGAACAACGGGCTTTTAAAGAAGCGAGGGGGGTTGAGGGGGGGGTAGGATTAGAAAAGCAGACGAAGCCACTAAAAGAGGAAAGCGTAAGGAAGCAAGGAGCACAAAGCCGAACAACGGCTACCCGCCCTTTTTCGCAGTTATCCCCTGCAGTTGTTGTTCGAGCGTCCCGCCCCCCAACAACATTCCCGCACAATTAATCCCTTCCTTTTTCGATCAGCTGTAACCCCTCCCACAAACATTCAGGGCGGAGTTCTCCGGAGCCCCCCCTTCACACTCTCACTCACTCAACTGACACACACTTACTCTCGCTAACTTGCACATACTTTCTTGCACTCATTCAGCACGGGGCAAGAGACAGAGAAAAAGACCGAGAAAGAAAGAACAAGCGAACGAACGAAAGAAAGTTTGAAAGAAAGAAAGAAAGAAAGAGACAGAGAGAAAGAAAGCCAAAAAAGGAACAAGGAAAACAAAGAAAACAAGAAAGAAAGAAAGAAAGAAAGAAAGAAAGAAAGAAAGAAAGAAAGAAAGAAAGAAAGAAAGAAAGAAAGAAAGAAAGAAAGAAAGAAAGAAAGAAAGAAAGAAAGAAAAAAAGAAAGGAAAATAAGAAAGAAAGAAAGAAAGAAAGAAAGAAAGAAAGAAAGAAAGAAAGAAAGAAAGAAAGAAAGAAAGAAAGAAAGAAAGAAAGAAAGAAAGAAAGAAAGAAAGAAATGAAAGAAAGAAAGAAAGAAAGAAAGAAAGAAAGAAAGAAAGAAAGAAAGAAAGAAAGAAAGAAAGAAAGAAAGAAAGAAAGAAAGAAAGAAAGAAAGAAAGAAAGAAAGAAAGAAAGAAAGAAAGAAAGAAAGAAAGAAAGAAAGAAAGAAAGAAAGAAAGAAAGAAAGAAAGAAAGAAAGAAAGAAAGAAAGAAAGAAAGAAAGAAAGAAAGACAAGAAAGAAAGACAAGAAAGAAAGAAAGAAAGAAATAAAGAAAGAAAGAAAGACAGACAAGAAAGAAAGAAGGAAAGAAGGAAAGAAAGAAAGAAAGAAAGAAAGAAAGAAAGAAAGAAAGAAAGAAAGAAAGGAAGGAAGGAAGGACGGAAGGAAGGAAAGAACGGAACGGAACGGAACGGAACGGAACGGAACGAAACGAAACGAAAGAACAACAGATTGAAAAAGAAAGAAAGAAAGAAAGAAAGAAAGAAAGAAAGAAAGAAAGAAAGAAAGAAAGAAAGAAAGAAAGAAAGAAAGAAAGAAAGGAAAGAAAGAAAGAAAGAAAGAAAGAAAGAAAAAGGAAAGGAAAGGAAAGGAAAGGAAAGAAAGAAAGGAAAGGAAAGGAAGAAAGAAAGAAAGAAAGAAAGAAAGAAAGAAAGAAAGAAAGAAAGACAGAAAGAAAGAGAGAAAGAAAGAAAGGAAGAAAAAGAAAGAAAACAAGAAAGAAAGAAAGAAAGAAAGAAAGAAAGAATGAAAGAAAGAAAGAAAGAAAGAAAGAAAGAAAGAAAGAAATAAAGAAAGACAGAAAGGAAGAAAGGAAGAAAGAAAGAAAGAAAGAAAGAAATAAAGAACAACAGAAATAACGAACATAAGAACATATGGAAAGAGGAACAGAGAGAACGAGAGAAAGCGAGACAGGGAGGAAGAAAGAGAGAAAGAGGGAAAGAGAGAAAGAGAGAAAGAGAGACAAGAAGAAAGAGAGAAAGAGAGAAAGAGAGAAAGAGAGAAAGAGAGACAAAGAGAGAAAGAGAGAAAGAGAGAAAGAGAGAAACAGAGAAACAATAAAGAGAGAAAGAGAGAAAGAGAGAAAGAGAGAAAGAGAGAACGAGAGAGACAGAGAGACAGAGAGAACGAGAGAAAGAGAGAAACAGACTAAGAGAGAAATGCAAGGAGAGAAAGAGAGGGACAGAGAGACAGAGAGAGAGAGAAGGGAGGAAGAAGTGGGCGGAGGGCTTGTCAGGTTCATGACTTTTTTGAGCGGGGCTGCGCGGCGAGTTCCCGCAACTACCTGTTGTTTTCTCTGGCGTGGACTGCTTGATGCGCGGGCGCGCGCAGTGACCAAGACGTTCGATTTGTTTGGCTACCCAGAGGAAAAGCGCTGTTACCATGTTCTTGTTAAGCACGCATGCCTGCTGACCTGCTGCTTTGGTCAAGTCTGGCAGGCCGCCGGACCGGGCAGGTCCTGCTTGGCAATTCTTTTTCTCTCCATTTTCCCCAGCCAACGCAATGAATGTCGAGTCTCGGTGCGGGCGTCGAGACATTTGTCGCGTTCTTCTGTGACGTACACGCTCTGCTGGATGTCGGGGTTGGTTGCGTGGGCCTCAGGCTGCAAGCAGCCTGTGCCTGGGTGTTATGATGCGGGGGTTGTTCGAGGGCGAGGAGGCCAGGCTTTGTGCTTCCCGTCAGGACGTTGGTGCCAACGGCGGTTACGCAAGCCGCAGGTCTAAACCGCGTTCTCCCTAGCAACAAGCCTCCCTAGTAAACAAAAACCGGAGGGCTTGTACTATTAGGGCCTTCTAGTTTTCTGGGACCTCGTTGATTTCCAATTTTCGAGAAAGAACTTTGAACAAAAGAAATCTAGCATTTAAAAACCTTGACTTGAGGCCCCCTGCTTTGCAATTGCGCCCGAGATCTCACGCAAGTCGTTTGTGAAACCCTCAGAACTCGTCATGGCTGGCTGCTCCGGTGCGACGCGGCAGAAGCTGGCTTGGGCGCCTCGGTTAGTTTGAGCAAAGTCGGAGATGTTGCTGACACTTTGACTGACTTGTCTTGCGATGTGTCGGGTGTAGCGGTTCCCGGCGCATAGAAGCGTGCTGTTGTTTGTCTGCCGGCTGTCGGTGTTTGAAGAGAAGCTCGCCTTGAGGCCTTCATCTTTCTGCTGGCGGCGCAGGAGGTGTCTGCGGCACGGGAGATGTACCGCGGAGCCGAGCTCAGCTCCCTGCAGGCAGAAGTTTTCCGGAGCGAGGACACACTTGTGCGAGCCTTCTCGCATGTGTGCGCCTGCAAGACACACTTTCGCGAGCGCGCCTGCGTGCGCGAAGGAAAAACTTGCACCAGCGCACATGTGTGAGACAACTTGCGCGCGAGACAGCTTGCGCGAGCGCACTTGCGCAAGAAACATGTGGGAGCCCTCTCTGTAAAACATGACATCCTCTTCAATGTTCAAAAGCTGGCTTTTTGGTGTTCCCGCAAAGGGCCGGTGTCGATGTCCGAGAACCGATGCGGGATTCGCTTGGTCAATGCAGGGCGGTCGATTGAGTCTGGAGAAGCTGTCTCAAGGTGATGCGAAATGCGCAATCCGAAGCATTACCAGTTATCGAGGAGGACATACAGAAATACGCGCGCTTGTGCAGAGCAACTTGCACAGAGTTAAGATGCGCAGGGCAGCTTGCGCGGAGTACTTGCGGCGCGCAGAGCAAGTTTCAAGAACACAAGCAAACTCGCAGGAGCACACTTGCTCGAGCAAACTCGCGCGGGCATACTTGGGCAGGGAACTCGCCCGAGAATATGATTAAATTTCGCTTTGCAGTGCCCGTCGCATCGTGCGCGGCATGAAAAGACCGCATTTGACATTCTACTTACCCCCGCGCTCGCTATTATGTTATGCTTGTGGGCCACGTTTTTACGCCCTGCTTTGTGTTGTGTAGGCTATGCTGGCCAAGGAGGTTTGCAGGGGCTGTCTCGCCAGGCCACAACGCTGGGTCGCGCTGGTGAGGATTTCCAGCGCGCCGAGGCGGTGCGCGAGGACGGGTCCTTCTCCGTCCGGACCAAGTGGGCCACAGGGAAGACGTCGCTCGGATTGCCGAGTCAGAGGAGAGAGGGGGCGGGGAAGAGGTGGGAGAGAAGCGTCCTTCCGCGTTTTTGACGCCGGCCTCATGTGGCGGCGAACTCCTATTGTGCTTGTCCCTCTCTGTCCCAACTCTAAGTCTGCAAGGTTTTGCGCCTTGTCTCTTTGTCTCTTTGCCTCTTTGTTTCTTTGTCCCTTTGTTTTTTTGTTTCTTTGTTTCTCTCTCTCTCTCTCTCTCTCTCTCTGTCTCTTTGTCTGTCTTTGTGTATGTTTTTGTTCTCTTGTCTGTTTCTTTCTTTCTTTCGTTCTTTATTTCTTTCTTTCTTTCTTTCTTTCTTTCTTTCTTTCTTTCTTTCTTTCTTTCTGTCGCTCTTTTTCTGCTTCTCTCTTTTTTCTTCCTTTTTTGTCTCTTCCCCTCTTGCCATCTTCTATCTTTCTCCTTCTCTTTTTTCTCTGTTTCTCTCTGTTCTTTTTTCTCTCTGTCCCTCTTTCCGTCTTTCTTTCTTTTTTGCTCTCTTTCTCTCTTTCTCTCTTCCTCTCTTCCTCTCTTCCTCCCTGTATGTTTGCGTGTCCGTGTGTCTGTCTGTCTGTCCATCTGTCTCTCTCTCTGTCTCTCTCTCTGTCTCTCTCTCTGTCTCTCTCTCTCTCTGTCTCTCTCTCTGTCTCTCTCTCTGTCTCTCTCTCTCTCTCTCTCTCTTTTTTCCCTCTCTCTTTGCCTGTCTGTCTGTCTGTCTGTCTGACTGTCTGTCTGTCTGTCTGTCTGTCTGTCTGTCTGTTTGTCTGGCAGGGTCAAACGCAAGGAGGCGTGCCTGTGGGCCAAGGTCATCGTTTTTATGGTCGGATTCAACAATTACCTTCAGATATGTTGCTGGCAACACGTCCGCCCATGAGCCACCAAAGTATGTAGAGATTGATGGTCTGGACACAAAGTATCGGCTGATGCCAGACGGTGCGGCGGTGATCAAGGAGATCCATGGAATGGACACTGTCAGCATTGTCGGGTGGCAAGCCTATGAAGGCGGCAAGTGGGGCAACACCAAGTACGCAAAGGATGAGGCCCTGTACTTCCAAGCTGACCCCGCAGTGGGCGAAACCAACTCCAATTGGCGCGGCCGCTCGGTGGGGCATGTGGTCTACCAGGGTCACGGCCAGCTCTACTTCTTCAACAGCAAAGGCGTCCAGAAGGTCATCGAGGCGGACGAGATGACCGCTTACCCCGAGCCGCGTACGCAACGCCTGGAGCTTCACATGGACGGAAGCGAGGCCAAGGCCTTCAGCCAGCCGGACCGGGAGCTGAGCGTCCTGATCGATGCCATGTTGGGCGAGGCCTCCTGCATGGGCAAGAGCAGCAAGTGCGCCTTCCGGTGCTTCTACGACCCAGACAAGGACGTTTGCGGGCCCGCGCCTTTCTGCCAGAAGGCGGCCGAAACCTAATTTGTGTTTTCGTGTTTCGGCTTGGAGGCACCGGCGCAAAGCGAAGGTTGGGCGCAAGCTGCCCCTTTGGCTTGCGGAATGAACGGTTGTTTTTTCTTTGCTGGAAGTTGGGCAGAAGCGTTCGAGAGGTGGAGGAGAGCACATCCCCGAGCATTTTGGCGCCCTTCGGGCAGCAGCAGAAGTGCAAGGCTGCAGGCGCGGAAGAGAAGGAGGCCGGAGAGGGCCAAGTGTTCTTAGACATGGCTATACTTGTGCAGCACATTTCTTTTGCCCTGCGCAGTATGTGTGTACAGGGGGTTCTTGCGGCAAGAGTGGGGCAGGGTGAGGTTAAGGGTTCGCAGCCTGCTTGGCGTCGTTCCGTGCGAGGCGGTCCCAGAGGAAAGCGGGTATGTTTCGAGGGTGTGCGAACCCTGAAAACTATGGACTCGCGCGCCTCTGTAGGCTTTTCTCACGTTGGAGTGTTTAGGAAGCTCTTGGCAGATTTTGGATGCTCTTGCCGGGACATTGGGGCAACCTGATATCGAACGGAACCCTTTGCGGACTTTCACGCCGCGGCGCGGTGGGGACTTCGAACTGGCTTTCATTGTGGCACGGTATGAATCTTGAGCATCAAGGGGGGTTCGTGTTGGTTGCTTGGGGTCTCGTTTCGCTTGTAGCACAGGTCTTGCAACTGATTTGCAGAGGCCGCAGACTTGGCGGTGAAGGCGGCCGCGGAGGATCTGAAGTTGATGGCCCTGGGCGTGACTGAGGAGCTGGAGGCCGCCCCCGAGATCAGCAAGTCCGGAGCCAGCCGCAGCACCATGAAGAAGACTTTGAAGCTGTACGAAAAGGCGCGGGCGGATTGCGGCCGATCCGGTGTGCTGTTGCGCATCTCGCACGAGGTGTTTCCGTTGACTCAGTTGACTTAGGCCAGCGCCCTCCTCAACGTTTGGCAGGCGCTGCCCGGCCGTCTGAGCCCGGAGACCGGGAACTTCGTGCAGGCCAAGCAGCGCGTGGCCCTCACCGACATGAAGCACTGGCGTGGCCGGGCGGCGGCCCGGAAGAACATGTGCTTGCTGCGTTTGCCCCTCACGATAAAAGGTTGTCGTGATTTCATCTTGCCCCACTTCGACGTCCGAAGTGTGATTGAAAATGCACATCTTGTGAGGCCAACTTGTCCAAAGCAAGTTGGCCTTTTGGTGTTGTTGGGCGTTATTTCACTTCTGGGCAGGTCCAGTCATGAGCAACTAACATATGTTTCAGAATTTCGCTGTGGTTTGTGCAACTATTCTGGTGGGACCGTTGTTTTCGCACTCCGTGCTGAATGAGGACCGGCTGACGGTCTCGGAGTACCGGGCGGCGGCAGCGCAGCCCGCCGCATCGCTGAAAACGTCGACGCAGTACTCCGTGGCCGCCAAGCTGCGCCTCGCTGCGACGGGGTGGTGGCGTGGGGCGGCGTTGGGGCGTTAGGAGAAGGTGTCTGCGCAACAAGTCATTTAAAAAGAAGGTCACAGGCCAAAAGGAGAAGGACAAATGAGCTTGAGCACCTCTCCTTCGATTCGATTCCGAAGACCCCGCCGCCCTTCGTTGCATGCCAGGAGAGTTGCAAGGGTTTCATGGCCCATTCCCCAAACCAGGACAACTACAAGGACTACAAGTATCCTGGTTGGGGAAATGATCCATGAACCCACTTCAACAGCGGAGACACGAAGCACCTCGATGGCCATCGTCCTTGTGGTCCCAAAAAAGGATGGCGTGTGGCTTGCCTGGTCTGACGACTCGAATTTCCGGGCATCGGAAGCCCTTCCATTGGGGTCCGAGAAAGGAAGAGATGGCTTGCTGGAAGGAATTGTACCCCTTTGGGGCAACCGCTCTGGGGAAACCAGATCAGATCAGATCAGAGCATGCTCGCCTTTTCCTGCGGAAAACTTCGGCAATATGACTGGAAGAGCAGTGCTGGCGTTCATGGTCGATGGCAGCGGCTCTGGCAAGTGGATGAAGGGGGCATCTCATGAATGCATTTGATAAGGCGCAGAGAGGCGTGGTGGCTCACTCAATGGAAAACAACAGGCTCAGCCGGCGCAACTGCGATGCAGGTGACTTCTGCAGCTGAGGTTGACGGTAAGATCATTTGCAACCGAGGACCGCGCGCCACACAGCCTTCTGGCTGTGTGGTGTGTGGTCCTCGGTTGCAAACATGATCTGCCGCAACGGGAGGAGAAGTTTGTGTGTGGACGCCCCACCGCATTTTCGCCACAGGCGCGAACTACAGTAGCATGTCGGCGTTGGGTGATCAGTCGCCGAAGAACTATCCACTCCTGAGGTGGTCTTTCTCGTCCTTGCGAGCGATGATTGTTGACCTCTGAGTTTGTTGTGGAGGACATGGCGGCAAAGATCCCGGACGTGGGGCTAGCCAAGACCCTCGAGCTACTGCAGCAAAAAGCAATGGCGAGATCGCGAAGGAGGCAACTCCTCCACGACTACGCCATTGTCGAAATGCCTTCTGCTGCCACTGACGACATCATTGCAGTTCTTGCTGTCCAGACGGCCCACGCAATCCACGAAGATTGGGATGCAGCGCGCAAGAAAAACAAGTGCCTTTGAGCCGGTCTGGTGTTTTCTTGCCTGGTTTCATGGCTTGGTGGCCATATCCACCCTCGAATACTCCTGTGATAGCCCATCCCGGTCAAGACTTGATAACCAGCCAGGCTTCCCAAGTTCGCTTTTGCTGCGGGCTCAGTCTGGTCCATAACATGATCCAAGAGTAAATGCGAATGTCTGAGGCCACGTTTCCTGGGCCTCTACAGCCTACAATTTCCGAAGGCTTGCAGTCTTTGTCCCACATATTGTTTTGGCTGCGTTGCTACGAGAAGGAACCTCAGATTCAGCTTGACTGTCTGGTGCACATTGCCATGCGTGCAACAGTGACACCAACATTTGGCATCATTTGGCTAGCCAACGCTGCAACAAAAGAGCCAGGAGCGAACTCCTGCATATTTGGTTGTCTTCGAGAATCTTTTTCCAGCAGGTGCGAGGCATGCCTTTTGCCTCTTGAATGGGAAGAAACGCACGTTGGTCTCGGACCACCCGGCAACGCAGGACTGAGATTCGATGCCAAGTATGACCTGAAGGCCTGCGGTTTCCAAGAGGAAGAGAGAGAGAGAGAGAGAGATAGATAGAGAGAGATGCAGAGAGAAAGGGAGGGAGGGAATGCGCAGGGTGTACTGGGTCAACACCGCTATGTCTCGCCGGAACAGCGAGCAGCCGGAGTCGAGGTACTGAAGGAGACCACGATCTGTGCGTCAAGCTTTCAATCTGCTTACGACTTAAGATCCGACGTAAACAGAATCCGATTGCTGGTCGACTGGGGGCACCTTCTGCCCCCCGCCTAAATTGCTGCATCGAACTTTCGGGTTTGTTTGTGGTTCCCTTTCTCTTTCCTGGTCTGGCGTTTTCAGTTCCTTTCTCCGCCTCCGGAGCGAAGTTTGCACAGCACGGGCCACGTGAGCCTCGGGTTCTTTCGGATTGAGAGGACCGGAACCTGGTGGAGCGCGTGGAGCAGGACCCCCTGCGTCTGGTTGGAGGAGTGGAGCTGCGCCGGCAGCTGGGGGAGGCGGGGGCTGGGGGGAAGTTTTCTTGGGGAGCTTTTTGGGGACTTTCCACCAGCTAACATGGAAGTGCACAGACCCCTGTAGAAAGACTACTCTTTTTGTTTTAATAAAAAACAATTTAAAAAATGTAAGAAAATAGAAAGGTTTTTTTTGCACTTGCATGTTAGTTGGTGGGAGGGGAGCTTTTTGGGCACGGGGACTCAAAAGGAGGCTGCTGAAATAATGGGTGTTTAAGCATCTTAATCAGGTTGGCCCAACCATGTTAAACATACAATTGTACCCCCCACAGTGCCGGAACCCAATGCGGGGATGGCTTGGACCAGCCCCCCCAGAAAGGGCATCTTTTCAGGAGATCTCAGGCCTGGGACTTCCGTGCCAGGATGTGTCCTTCCTGGAGCAGCATGGGCGCATTGACTACTCGCTGCTGCACCACCGGCGTGCCTTTCGATCACCGGCACGGCAAATGAGCTGCAAGCAATCTCCCCATTCAGGAAATCAGGATAGCCAGAATCCAACTTGTGCAATCTGCCCGTCCGCCAGCATTTGGCCAAGAAATCACGAGCCATTTAAAGGTCGCCATGAGCAATGTGTGACGTCTGCGTGCTGTGCGCGGGCCGGGCCGAGGTGGTCTTCGAGACGTCAGCCGGGCAGCTGCACTCGGCCTGCGGGCACGGCGCCTGCCGCCGGTGCCTCAGCGCCCACGTGGAGGCCGCGCTGCCTGGGTGCCTCCGGCAGTGGGCGCTGGAGGTCCAGTGCCCGGCGGCTGGCTGCGGCAGGCGACTCCCGCAGCGCCTGGTGCTGAGCGTCTCGGCTGCTGAGAAGTTGGCGGCGGTGCTGGACCAGGCAGTGGTGTGGCCGGAGGCGGGAGAGAGAGAGAGAGATATAGATTTGCGGGGGAGCCTGTTGAGTGCAAGAAACCAGTGACAGTTTTCGGGCAAGCTTGCGAAAGCTTTGAACTGTATATTCTCGAAGCTGCCAGCATTCTTGCATGTGAGTTGATCCTAGGAGGCCCAGTGCCCTCGCTGTGGGGCGGAGAACAGCACCATCCACGTGAACCGGGCATGCGGCCATTCAGCCTGCGCTGAGTGCTGGCTGGCAGACCTGGAGCCGAAATTGCAATGGTCCCGGGCCAACTGCACCCTGGACATCCCCTGCTGCCGCCTGGGCTGCAGCCAGGGCTGCTCTGAGGTGCTCCAGCGCTTGAGCCCGGCGCCTCTGGCGCCTCTGGACGCTGTCCAGAGCTACGTTCAGGAAGTCCAGCAGCACATGAAGGACTTCTCGGCCTGGTGCGTCCATGGGGGTGCCCCGTGTACTCCTGGTCCTGAGTGCTCCAAGTGCGGCAGCATGTCGCTGGCGCTTCTGCACTGCAGTTGCGGGGTGGCAGCCTGCCGACAGTGTTGGCAGCGTTTTGTGGATGAGCACCTGCAGTGGTGCCGGGACAACTTCGCCTTCTTCCCCGACTGCCTGGCCTTCTGCTGCTCTCCTTTGCACCGCGCGCAGGTGGTGGATCTCCTGCCCACCATGACCCAAGACATCAATACGCACGAGACCGAGCTGAAGGCCACTCTGCTGCGCCTGAGCTGCGCAGCGCCCCGGGGCAGGGTGGGGCCCAGCTGCCCCATTTGCGGTGAGGTCCGTGTGGCGCTGCTCTGCCACAAGGGCCACGAGACCCACGCGGCCTGTGAGCAGTGCTGGGGGCGCTGGGCCGAGGAGCAGTTGGAGCAGTGCGTGCGTTGCCGCCAGCCGCCCGCACGGTGCCTATGGCCCGAGTGTTGCGTCGACATGGGCGAGGCAGCGCTGTGGACGGAGGCGCAGAAGTCCAGTCAACTACTACAGCAGCACCTCACCAGGCTTGCCCGCAGGAAGCGACTCCAGCGCAGTCCAATGTATCCAGCTGCCCTCCAGGTTGACTGCCCTAGCCCAAGCTGTGTGGGTCTCGGCTACCTGGGCTTTGACACTGTGATGTGCTTCATTTGTGAGCGCCAATGGGACGCAGAGTCCGGAGTCACAGACAAGCCTCCCGAGCTGTTGCCTGCGGGTTCCGAGCTGCAGGTGGCAGGTCTGACGGTCCGCAGGTGCCCACAGTGCCAGGAGTACATCGAGAAGAACGGTGGCTGCGACCACATGACCTGTCGCTGTCGACATCAGTTTTCCTGGACAACTCTGAAGCCATGGAGGTGAGGCATGCGATGGTCAGTACCCAAGTTTACGGAGTGGAAAGTCACTTTCACGCGCACAAGGTTGGCAATGATGTAGTAGCGCTTGGCGGCGCTTGTACAGTTCTTGCAATTTTGCACACTCCAAGTGCGCTTCCCAGTAGCAGGAGGGAATGTCAGTTGTTTGACCTTCGGTTGAGACATCAGTCACGCACGGTTTCCGGGCTCGGGAAGCGAACGATGCTTAGACGGGGCACAGTACTCATGCCTCACTTTGTGCATAATGCTGAGCGCCTGAGAATGTACAGCTCTTTAGTTGCAAAACATGATCACGGACGATGCCTAGCAGATTGGGGGCCAAGCTTGTGTACTCCCTTGCAAATTAACCTGGAAGCCAAAAGAGGGTCACCAAGAAGACTTTTCCCTCACCTGGGCAAAAGGCAAGGCTGAAAAGCTGTCCAGGCTGGGCGTGGCCTCTGCGGCAGAGGCTGACGGGAAGGCGTGAGATCTGGGCGGCAGCAAGGAGCCGGTGGGCCGGTTGGCTGACTCTCAGGGCATTGGTGGTGGCTTCCGAACAGCGCCAGCCGGGTCCATAGAATCTAGAAGTCTTTTCTCTTTCCTTAGCATTCACCTGTTGATCTTCTTTCCAGTGTATGTCCTCCGTGTCTTGTTTACCTGCTGTCTGTTCGGTTCATGATCCTAACCACAATGACACGGAGGGACGGAGTGGAGAGTCTTCTTCTTTGCGAGCCCTGTCTCTTTTCTATTTATTTCTTCTTTTCTTTTCTTTTTAGTTACTTTTGGGGCTCGCATGCTTCCTTCATCACCCATCCTTCCATCTCTTAATCTCGCCTCCGCTCTGATGCATTACTTGGTGAGGCGAGGAGATGGATCCAGGATGGAGTGAAGAAGGCTTAGGAAAGGAATAGAAGAGAAGGACGAGAGAAGCGAGGAGAGAGGGGAATATCTTTCATGGTCATCCACTTTCTGTTCCCCCTCCTCTGTCGATGAGCCGGGTCACAGAGATAACTCAAGGAACAGGAAAGTGATGATGAAAGAGATAGCATTCCTGTCACTCATGCCTCCCGGCTCTATTCGTTTCCAGATGAGTGTCTTTCCTTCTCACACCTCGTCCCTAAGTCAGCAATCAACATGAAAGAGAAATGATAGAGTGAAGAGGGACGACCGAAGGAAGGAGTGAGATGGACAGTTTTCTTTCTTTCATTTCTTTATTATTAGTTTGCCTTCTTTTGTCGTAATAATTCTTTAATTTTTCTTTTCTTTTATTTATTGGTTTTATGTAGTTAGGTGTGTTCATGACCTGTCCCGCGGGATTAAACGATAGAAGCCGCGGGAGAGAAACTTCAAATATAAATAGTAAATAGCTGATAATAAAGGGAATTAAAGGGACATAAAGTGATTGAAGATAAAGGAAGAGAAATCCCTTAAAATCCAGGTATTAACTTATGGTCATGCCCTCAGCCGTCTATTGGCTGTGTGTTAGGGCTTGAATGGATTTCTCTTTCCTTGAGCCGCTGGGCGGGAGAATTAACGGTGGAACGAACAAAAGTGAGTGGGTCACCATCCGTTCCCAACCTACCTTTTACCTCCGGCTGAGGCACGGCATTAACAAAGAAGCTGAGGAACGAAGATGGAATAACCGCGAGCCGTGTATCATCTCGCTTCATTTGTGGGATTTCCCGACAGTGGAATACATGGAACGGAAAGGGAGGGGAATCATGTCTCTTAATTCTACATCTCATTCCATCTTATTGTACCTTGTATCTCGCTTCTTTGTGAGTGTGTAATCCCAAGAATAGAAAGGATAGTGAGAGAAGATGGAATAGAGATGCTTCCAGCCCTTTCTTTTCTCTTATCTTGATTGGAGGGCTGGTTCACTCACACTCTAGAATTCACTATCTTCCTTCCTTCGTGTCTTCCCTCCCTATCATCGGTTGACACTCTGTGCTCGCTTCTCGCGACCGAAGGAAGAAGAATGCGAGATAAAAAGACAAGGAAAAGATAGAATGGAGAGGTCAGGCCTCGCTTCTTTTGGGAGTTCCCCCAACCTTAGAAGCGAGTGGGATGTGTCTATAGACTGTGTAACCGCCAGGGCAAGGGTTAGATAATGGGATATCTTTTATTGGGATTTCATCTCCTATTTCTATCTCTTTCTCTGGATCTTATCTCCTCACCTCTCGGTCTTTACCATCGATGGTGAGGGATCCAGAGAATGAAACAGAGAAAAGAGAAGCTCTAGAACCCTTTCTCCCGCTCACGTCGTTCCCGTCGATGCAATGGATGCGAGACAAGGGAAAGAAAGGGAGGGATATAATGTCTGTTCTCGTTCTCTGGATTCACTATCTTGTCTATTCCATTCCTTACCAATTATAACCCTTGGAATCTTTGTGAGATAAATAATAGAATTCACTTGTACATGATGGTGAAGAAAGAACGGTTTCTATTGGTCTTCCTTTCCTATCTTATTGTGTCCCTTCCTTTGTCAGGAGTTAACTGGAGAATACAGGAGATAAATAGAATGGAGATAAGGTATGAAGTGAAAAGCATTTATGGGAGATAATAAAGCCTTAGGAACTCACCGGCCGTTGGCCCACCATTTCTATTTTATATTGTTATTTTGTTTGTTTATTGGATGGTCTTCCTTCACAGTGAGGCATTAGCAAATAGATGGTTTTCTTTCTACATCATATCCTTGTCCTTTCATTATCTGGATCCTGTGTCATTAACTTCTAGATTGTGGATCCAAATGAAGCAAATTACAATAATAAAGAGATGGGATTCTTCTTTCCCATTTCTTTATCTTTATTATTCCCTTCTCTTCTCTGGGTTATTGGTCTTTCATCTATTAATTATTATCCTCATCCAATAACCCCGAGAATTAGAGATGGGAATGTCCTTCTTTCTCTTCCCTTCATTCGCTTCTTTAGGGCATGTAATCTTAATGCCAACAACATATAGAAAAGAAGCGAAGGGAAGAGAGAAAGACACTAACCGTTCACCCTTGCCTTCCCATTGACAGGCTATCTCTATAACCTAACCACCAAACAGCATATGGGGAAGGCCGTGAACGGGTGAAATGGCGGAGGAAACGATGCCATGGAAGAACGAAGGAAAAGGACCTACGACAGACGAAGGGAGTGAGGACAGAGGTCAAGGTCCTAGAGTTCCATCATTATCCTTCCCTTGCCTTGCCTCTCTATTCCTTCAACATCATGTCGGTTCTAACCGTGAATGCGAGAGGCAAGTGTGTGTTAATGATGGATCTCTTCCTCCTTCGTTAATCCGCTGGGTCATTGGCAGCTGTTAGTTCCCTCTCATCGTTTCCTCTTCGTTCCGATCCGGCGCGTCAATTCCTGTGATGAGCGCCTTGGGCGGCAACTCAGGCACGAAGCAGACCAGAGGTGCTATACATGGGCATCATTGACATCCTGCAGGAGACGCATCCAGTTCAGATCTTTCAGTCTGGAGTTGCCTAACGGTATTGGTGTGTGTCGACTATATTTGTAGATCAGCTTGGGGTCAAAAAGAGCACGGCGAGCCAGGAGTACACCACGTCCAAGGCGATGGAGTCAAGATTCAAGTCGCTCAAGTACGGCTTGAAAAGAAGCTTCAGGAGCCAACTCTTGTCTTGATCAGCCGATGAGTGATGCGTCCAGGAAGCAATCCACCATTTCGGACTTCTCAACGGCGGTGTCATCTGCTCCGCCTGACCATTACGTTGCGGGCCTAAGCTGGGGAATCTCGTCACTCTTGTCGCAGAGCCTATTTGCTTCTCTCAACGCGACACACGCACAGACATGACATAAACAGAGAATGTATGACATGAGATGCTGATGTGCCAGCGAGCGGAATTTGATCTGTGCAATGAAGCAGGAGTAACAGAGAGAAAATATTTTGCAGTGCATGTCGAAGCAGACATAAGCATGAAAGTTGATCTCATACTGATCAACTTGGCAGATGAATGTTCTCTGTGATGGTAACCAATGAACCCAACCTGTATGGGGATTCTGCAACAGACTTGCTAGACTCAGAAACTCGATGGCTGTTGTAAGGCCAAACGATTTCTGGATTTCATGATCGAGCGACTTTGCCAAGCTTTGTAGCTTCATAGGTGGGTTGGCCCACCGACTGTCCAAAGTTGACAGCGCAAAGAACTAGTTTTATGTAGGTTTTCTCTTTCTGCAAGTGTGGCTTGGGCGCAGTGCATACATTGCATTCTGCCTCCATGGTTCCATGCCTAGACTGATATGTGTGTGCCACCTACAGCACCATGTGTCACGGAGCGTTAACGAAGCATTGATTAACCCCTGCGCAGCACAACATGAGCTGCATGCAGGCAAACTCAGAGTCGAGACAAAAGAGCGCTCCCGTATCGCCAGCCTCTTCATGGAGGTACTTATTTTGCTTGTTTTGGTTGGTGGTTTGGTTGCTTTGTTTGATCCGGCTATTTGTTCTTTGCTTCTTGGATTGGTTGGGTAAGTCGACATGTTGCTCGGGCTTTCCCAGCGTGGCCACAAGCTCAAAGAGCATTTAACCAAGAAATCACGAGCCATTTAAAGGTCGCCATGAACAATGTGTGACGTCTGCGTGCTGTGCGCGGACCGGGCCGAGGTGGTCTTCGAGACGTCAGCCGGGCAGCTGCACTCGGCCTGCGGGCACGGCGCCTGCCGCCGGTGCCTCAGCGCCCACGTGGAGGCCGCGCTGCCTGGGTGCCTCCGGCAGTGGGCGCTGGAGGTCCAGTGCCCGGCGGCTGGCTGCGGCAGGCGACTCCCGCAGCGCCTGGTGCTGAGCGTCTCGGCTGCTGAGAAGTTGGCAGCGGTGCTGGACCAGGCAGTGGTGTGGCCGGAGGCGGGAGAGAGGGAGAGAGAGATAGATTTGCGGGGGAGCCTGTTGAGTGCAAGAAACCAGTGACAGTTTTCGGGCAAGCTTGCGAAAGCTTTGAACTGTATATTCTCGAAGCTGCCAGCATTCTTGCATTTGAGTTGATCCTAGGAGACCCAGTGCCCTCGCTGTGGGGCGGAGAACAGCACCATCCACGTGAACCGGGCATGCGGCCATTCAGCCTGCGCTGAGTGCTGGCTGGCAGACCTGGAGCCGAAATTGCAATGGTCCCGGGCCAACTGCACCCTGGACATCCCCTGCTGCCACCTGGGCTGCAGCCAGGGCTGCTCTGAGGTGCTCCAGCGCTTGAACCTGGCGCCTCTGGCGCCTCTGGACGCTGTCCAGAGCTACGTTCAGGAAGTCCAGCAGCACATGAAGGACTTCTCGGCCTGGTGCGTCCATGGGGGTGCCCCGTGTACTCCTGGTCCTGAGTGCTCCAAGTGCGGCAGCATGTCGCTGGCGCTTCTGCACTGCAGTTGCGGGGTGGCAGCCTGCCGACAGTGTTGGCAGCGTTTTGTGGATGAGCACCTGCCGTGGTGCCGGGACAACTTCGCCTTCTTCCCCGACTGCCTGACCTTCTGCTGCTCTCCTTTGCACCGCGCGCAGGTGGTGGATCTCCTGCCCACCATGACCCAAGACGTCAAGACGCACGAGACCGAGCTGAAGGCCACTCTGCTGCGCCTGAGCTGCGCAGCGCCCCGGGGCAGGGTGGGGCCCAGCTGCCCCATTTGCGGTGAGGTCCGTGTGGCGCTGCTCTGCCACAAGGGCCACGAGACCCACGCGGCCTGTGAGCAGTGCTGGGGGCGCTGGGCCGAGGAGCAGTTGGAGCAGTGCGTGCGTTGCCGCCAGCCGCCCGCACGGTGCCTATGGCCCGACTGTTGCGTCGACATGATCGAGGCAGCGCTGTGGACGGAGGTGCAGAAGTCCAGTCAACCACTACAGCAGCACCTCACCAGGCTTGCCCGCAGGAAGCGACTCCAGCGCAGTCCAATGTATCCAGCTGCCCTCCAGGTTGACTGCCCCAGCCCAAGCTGTGTGGGTCTCGGCTACCTGGGCTTTGACACTGTGATGTGCTTCATTTGTGAGCGCCAATGGGACGCGGAGTCCGGAGTCACAGACAAGCCTCCCGAGCTGTTGCCTGCGGGTTCCGAGCTGCAGGTGGCAGGTCTGACGGTCCGCAGGTGCCCACAGTGCCAGGAGTACATCGAGAAGAACGGTGGCTGCGACCACATGACCTGTCGCTGTCGACATCAGTTTTCCTGGACAACTCTGAAGCCATGGAGGTGAGGCATGCGATGGTAAGTACCCAAGTTCACGGAGTGGAAAGTCACTTTCACCCGCACAAGGTTGGCAATGATGTAGTGGCGCTTGGCGGCGCTTGTACAGTTCTTGCAATTTTGCACACTCCAAGTGCGCTTCCCAGTAGCAGGAGGGAATGTCAGTTGTTTGACCTTCGGTTGAGACATCAGTCACGCACGGTTTCCGGGCTCGGGAAGCGCACGATGCTTAGACGGGGCACAGTACTCATGCCTCACTTTGTGCATAATGCTGAGCGCCTGAGAATGTACAGCTCTTTAGTTGCAAAACATGATCACGGATGATGCCTAGCAGATTGGGGGCCAAGCTTGTGTACTCCCTTGCAAATTAACCTGGAAGCCAAAAGAGGGTTACCAAGAAGACTTTTCCCTCACCTTGGTAAAAGGCAAGGCTGAAAAGCTGTCCAGGCTGGGCATGGCCTCTGCGGCAGAGGCTGACGGGAAGGCGTGAGATCTGGGCGGCAGCAAGGAGCCGGTGGGCCGGTTGGCTGACTCTCAGGGCATTGGTGGTGGCTTCCGAACAGCGCCAGCCGGGTCCTCAGCTGATCCGGCGCGTCAATTCCTGTGATGAGCGCCTTGGGCGGCAACTCAGGCACGAGCAGACCAGAGGTGCTATACATGGGCATCATTGACATCCTGCAGGAGACGCATCCAGTTCAGATCTTTCAGTCTGGAGTTGCCTAACGGTATTGGTGTGTGTGTGTGTGTGTGTGTCGACTATATTTGTAGATAAGCTTGGGGTCAAAAAGAGCACGGCGAGCCAGGAGTACACCACGTCCAAGGCGATGGAATCAAGATTCAAGTCGCTCAAGTACGGCTTGAAAAGAAGCTTCAGGAGCCAACTCTTGTCTTGATCAGCCGATGAGTGATGCGTCCAGGAAGCAATCCACCATTTCGGACTTCTCAACGGCGGTGTCATCTGCTCCGCCTGACCATTACGTTGCGGGCCTAAGCTGGGGAATCTCGTCACTCTTGTCGCAGAGCCTATTTGCTTCTCTCAACGCGACACACGCACAGACATGACATAAACAGAGAATGTATGACATGAGATGCTGATGTGCCAGCGAGCGGAATTTGATCTGTGCAATGAAGCAGGAGTAACAGAGAGAAAATCTTTTGCTGTGCATGTCGAAGCAGACATAAGCATGAAAGTTGATCTCATACTGATCAACTTGGCAGATGAATGTTCTCTGTGATGGTAACCAATGAACCCAACTTGTATGGGGATTCTGCAACAGACTTGCTAGACTCAGAAACTCGATGGCTGTTGTAAGGCCAAACGATTTCTGGATTTCATGATCGAGCGACTTTGCCACGCTTTGTAGCTTCACAGGTGGGTTGGCCCACCGACTGTCCAAAGTTGACAGCGCAAACTAGTTTTATGTAAGTTTTCTCTTTCTGCAAGTGTGGCTTGGGCGCAGTGCATACATTGCATTCTGCCTCCATGGTTCCATGCCTAGACTGATATGTGTGTGCCACCTACAGCACCATGTGTCACGGAGCGTTAACGAAGCATTGATTAACCCCTGCGCAGCACAACATGAGCTGCATGCAGGCAAACTCAGAGTCGAGACAAAAGAGCGCTCCAGTATCGCCAGCCTCGCTTTGTTTGATCCGGCTATTTGTTCTTTGCTTCTTGGATTGGTTGGGTAAGTCGACATGGTGCTCGGGCTTTCCCAGCGTGGCCACAAGCTCAAAGAGCATTTGGCCAAGAAATCACGAGCCATTTAAAAGTCGCCATGAGCAATGTGTGACGCCTGCGTGCTGTGCGCGGGCCGGGCCGAGGTGGTCTTCGAGGCGTCAGCCGGGAGTGCCTGCGGGCACGGCGCCTGCCGCCGGTGCCTCAGCGCCCACGTGGAGGCGGCGCTGCCTGGGTGCCTCCGGCAGTGGGCGCTGGAGGTCCAGTGCCCGGCGGCTGGCTGCGGCAGGCGACTCCCGCAGCGCCTGGTGCTGAGCGTCTCGGCTGCTGAGAAGTTGGCGGCGGTGCTGGACCAGGCAGTGGTGTGGCCGGAGGCGGGAGAGAGGGAGAGAGCGATAGATTTGCGGGGGAGCCTGTTGAGTGCAAGAAACCAGTGACAATTTTCGGGCAAGCTTGCGAAAGCTTTGAACTGTATATTCTCGAAGCTGCCAGCATTCTTGCATTTGAGTTGATCCTAGGAGGCCCAGTGCCCTCGCTGTGGGGCGGAGAACAGCACCATCCACGTGAACCGGGCATGCGGCCATTCAGCCTGCGCTGAGTGCTGGCTGGCAGACCTGGAGCCGAAATTGCAATGGTCCCGGGCCAACTGCACCCTGGACATCCCCTGCTGCCACCTGGGCTGCAGCCAGGGCTGCTCTGAGGTGCTCCAGCGCTTGAGCCCGGCGCCTCTGGCGCCTCTGGACGCTGTCCAGAGCTACGTTCAGGAAGTCCAGCAGCACATGAAGGACTTCTCGGCCTGGTGCGTCCATGGGGGTGCCCCGTGTACTCCTGGTCCTGAGTGCTCCAAGTGCGGCAGCATGTCGCTGGCGCTTCTGCACTGCAGTTGCGGGGTGGCAGCCTGCCGACAGTGTTGGCAGCGTTTTGTGGATGAGCACCTGCCGTGGTGCCGGGACAACTTTGCCTTCTTCCCCGACTGCCTGACCTTCTGCTGCTCTCCTTTGCACCGCGCGCAGGTGGTGGATCTCCTGCCCACCATGACCCAAGACGTCAAGACGCACGAGACCGAGCTGAAGGCCACTCTGCTGCGCCTGCGCTGCGCAGCGCCCCGGGGCAGGGTGGGGCCCAGCTGCCCCGTTTGCGGTGAGGTCCGTGTGGCGCTGCTCTGCCACAAGGGCCACGAGACTCACGCGGCCTGTGAGCAGTGCTGGGGGCGCTGGGCCGAGGAGCAGTTGGAGCAGTGCGTGCGTTGCCGCCAGCCGCCCGCACGGTGCCTATGGCCCGACTGTTGCGTCGACATGATCGAGGCAGCGCTGTGGACGGAGGCGCAGAAGTCCAGTCAACCACTACAGCAGCACCTCACCAGGCTTGCCCGCAGGAAGCGACTCCAGCGCAGTCCAATGTATCCAGCTGCCCTCCAGGTTGACTGCCCCAGCCCAAGCTGTGTGGGTCTCGGCTACCTGGGCTTTGACACTGTGATGTGCTTCATTTGTGAGCGCCAATGGGACGCGGAGTCCGGAGTCACAGACAAGCCTCCCGAGCTGTTGCCTGCGGGTTCCGAGCTGCAGGTGGCAGGTCTGACGGTCCGCAGGTGCCCACAGTGCCAGGAGTACATCGAGAAGAACGGTGGCTGCGACCACATGACCTGTCGCTGTCGACATCAGTTTTCCTGGACAACTCTGAAGCCATGGAGGTGAGGCATGCGATGGTCAGTACCCAAGTTTACGGAGTGGAAAGTCACTTTCACGCGCACAAGGTTGGCAATGATGTAGTAGCGCTTGGCGGCGCTTGTACAGTTCTTGCAATTTTGCACACTCCAAGTGCGCTTCCCAGTAGCAGGAGGGAATGTCAGTTGTTTGACCTTCGGTTGAGACATCAGTCACGCACGGTTTCCGGGCTCGGGAAGCGCACAATGCTTAGACGGGGCACAGTACTCATGCCTCACTTTGTGCATAATGCTGAGCGCCTGAGAATGTACAGCTCTTTAGTTGCAAAACATGATCACGGATGATGCCTAGCAGATTGGGGGCCAAGCTTGTGTACTCCCTTGCAAATTAACCTGGAAGCCAAAAGAGGTCACCAAAAAGACTTTTCCCTCACCTGGGCAAAAGGCAAGGCTGAAAAGCTGTCCAGGCTGGGCGTGGCCTCTGCGGCAGAGGCTGACGGGAAGGCGTGAGATCTGGGCGGCAGCAAGGAGCCGGTGGGCCGGTTGGCTGACTCTCAGGGCATTGGTGGTGGCTTCCGAACAGCGCCAGCCGGGTCCTCAGCTGATCCGGCGCGTCAATTCTCAGGCACGAAGCAGACCAGAGGTGCTATACATGGGCATCATTGACATCCTGCAGGAGACGCATCCAGTTCAGATCTTTCAGTCTGGAGTTGCCTAACGGTATTGGTGTGTGTCGACTATATTTGTAGATCAGCTGGGGGTCAAACAGAGCACGGCGAGCCAGGATTACACCACGTCCAAGGCGATGGAGTCAAGATTCAAGTCGCTCAAGTACGGCTTGAAAAGAAGCTTCAGGAGCCAACTCTTGTCTTGATCAGCCGATGAGTCATGCTTCCAGGAAGCAATCCATCATTTCGGACTTCTCAACGGCGGTGTCATCTGCTCCGCCTGACCATTACGTTGCGGGCCTAAGCTGGGGAATCTCGTCACTCTTGTCGCAGAGCCTCTTTGCTTCTCTCAACGCGACACGCACAGACATGACACAAACAGAGAATGTATGACATGAGATGTGCCAGCGAGCGGAGTTTGATCTGTGCAATGAAGCAGGAGTAACAGAGAGAACATTTTTTGCAGTGCATGTCGAAGCAGACATAAGCATGAAAGTTGATCTCACACTGATCAACTTGGCAGATGAATGTTCTCTGTGATGGTAACCAATGAACCCAACCTATATGGGGATTCTGCAACAGACTTGCTAGACTCAGAAACTCGATGGCTGTTGTAAGGCCAAACGAATTCCGGATTTCATGATCGAGTGACTTTGCCAAGCTTTGTAGCTTCATAGGTGGGTTGGCCCACCGACTGTCCAAAGCGCAAAGAACTAGTTTTATGTAAGTTTTCTCTTTCTGCAAGTGTGGCTTGGGCGCAGTGCATACATTGCATTCTGCCTCCATGGTTCCATGCCTAGACTGATATGTGTGTGCCACCTACAGCACCATGTGTCACGGAGCGTTAGCGAAGCATTGATTAACCCCTGCGCAGCACAGCATGAGCTGCATGCAGGCAAACTCAGAGTCGAGACAAAAGAGCGCTCCAGTATCGCCAGCCTCTTCATGGAAGTACTTATTTTGCTTGTTTTGGTTGGTGGTTTGGTTGCTTTGTTTGATCCGGCTATTTGTTCTTTGCTTCTTTGATTGGTTGGGTAAGTCGACATGGTGCTCGGGCTTTCCCAGCGTGGCCACAAGCTCAAAGCACGGTCAAGATGTTCATCGAAAGCTGTCCAAGGTTTTTCTTTACCCTCTGAGCATGTCAATGTGCTTGTTCTTATGAGTCTTTTGGGAGACGTGAGAGGCTCGCTTTGCCGTCTTTTGCCCATGCCATGAGACTTGAGCTGCTGGCATTCCTGCAGGTGGCCGCAGGCATGGCCTTTTCCGAAAGGAGCCGTGAACGTTTGACACGTTGCAGGAAACAAATCTAATGCTGGGACACAAGAGGTGAACTGGACAATGGCCCCAAACCCCAGCATGCCTTTGGAACGACGCCCTTCCTTGTCCACGCGAGGCTCGCAGAGCGAACCCCCCGCCGCCCGGCACAATGAGCGCCAGCTTTGGGACTGATCACACGCGGTGCTTTGCCGAGGATTTGATTTCGGCCACTGCGGACAAGTTGATCAGCACCTCGGAGGCTGAGCTTTGCGATGATGGCCACTGTACGGTTCCCGCCGGCAGCACCTGGATATTCGATCAGAGCATCGATGTCAAGCGACTTGCCGGAAAGCAGCTCCGGTGCTCTAGTAAAATGACTTGCTGAAGTGCTTGAGGACGCTGACCATATATGGCACTGTGAAGTGGGACACAGAAAAGGACTTGAGTGGATCTTAAAGGCTTGCTGGTGCTCAGGGAATGAGAAATGGAACCCCTAACCATCCATCCAATGGTTTCCGTTTCGGGGGAGTCCCCAGGTTTATTCCATTTCTCCTTCCCCACCCATCGCACCCGCAAGTAATTCGTTTCGGTCCGCTTGAGTGCGCAGGATGGTCTGGAGCTCCGAACGGGACACATCCTGGTGGGCGCCGGGGGCTACTTTCAGATTGGCTCGAGGTCGATGCCCATGGAGCGCCGCGGTGGGACATCGGAAAGGGAGCGGGAAATCGAGCCTTTGCCTGGGTCAACGCGAGACCTTGCCGGCTTAAAACAAACTATGTCTGTTTACTTGCCGGATTTGCAAGTGGATAGGGAGGGTTACTAGATCAAACGGAATTCCGCGACAAGATGACTCAGGGCGTGTTGACAGTGGCGTGTTGACCATGAAGCTTCAGAGCAAGCGTCGCATGGCCGGCAGCTTGAGGCAGCGGGCGACGATCTACATAAAGCCACCTTCCTGCATCTGAAGAAGTCAATTGGCAACTCCGCAAAGGCACTTGGCCCTGACGCTGGCTTCCCACGAGCCAAGGAAAGGATTAGAACAGCACATGTGGTTTGGCGATCGATTCCTGGCGAGCGAGGGGGAGGACTGGCTTCGCCGAAGCCAAACGCAGTTTTTGCAATCCCCCAGAAACCAAGGGAAACCAACGGTTTTTGTTGAAGTCGCCCATTTTTCGGCCAGTCGAAGCAGTCGACTTGGTGACTCCAGGCCCATGTGGAGATCCACGGTCGGCGCCTGGCGCGGACCTGGACCTTGCTGAGCCGGACGGCGGAAAGCGGCGGCTCGACTGTGAGCTAGTACGGGAGGGAGCCGGCTGGCCCAGGGAGTGGAAAGGGTTCGCAGGGCCATGGCCATTTGGGTTTGGGGGCGGTTTGGGGGTCCACACTCATTAGGAGGCAAGGCCAATTTGTGTTCTGTGACCTTCTTTCCCTACTTGTTGATCAAAGCCACAATGAGAGCCTTTGTAAGAAGGGCGCAAGGTTTCCAGTTCAGACATGACGAGAAACTGTCTTTGGAGGTTCTGCTAAGTTTCTTCTTTAAGTTCCGGTCAGGGTGCCTTCACCAGGTATCAGCACAAAAGCAATTTTACTTGCTCGAGTCACATCAAGCTGAAAGCCAAATTCTGCAGGGCTCCGGATCTGATCGGTCAGCGGTACAGTTACCAAGTTCCCATTGGGACATGTTTGGGTGGGGGCTGGGTGTTGGCTGGGGCTGGTGTCAGGTGGGTGCGTGAATCCTGGAGTGAACCGCAGGCACCCGGGAGCTCTTTTTGAAGCACGATCTTGTGCAGATGGGATGGCGCATCGGTGACCATATCGGGTCACTTGGCGCAAGATGAGCCCAGAGAAATACTGGCCAATTGTTTAGATTGTGCACTTTTGGATTGCATCATTGTCCCATTCACCAGCGACGAAAATTGCGTTGAAGGGGTGTAAGTCTGGTTGTGTTGATTCAGGCCTCTGGCTTTTTCGTAGCAAGTTCAAGAGTATGATTTCAAGGGCGCTGACATGCACATTTCCAATGTTGTCTCCTGATTGATAGCCCCTGCTTGGTTTGAGGATACCGCAGAGAGAGAGTGAGAGAGAGAGACAGAAAGGGAAAGCGAAAGATAAAGAGAAAGAGAAAGACAGAGAGAGAGAGAGAGAGCGATAAAGGAAAAGAGCAAGGGAAAGGAAGAGGGAGAAGTTCAGAGAGGAATCCCCACCAACCAAGGAGCCTTTGATTCATCAAACAAGTGTTCACCAATCAGTCAGGAATTGTCGACTGTCCAGTGGCACCTTAGGGTGGCGACGACGTCTCGGGGTGTATCTCCCGAGCACCAGATTCTGGACATTCGCGCGTGCCTCAGGCAGTGAGGTGGTCTTCTTGAAGGACTTTTTTCCTGCTGGATTGGATTATTTTTGCCAGCGCTACCCAGCAAGCAAGAGAGCACACGCACATGCATATACGCAAGCAAGCAAGCCGCCTCAAAAAACACTAGGCCCACCCGCAATCCACACGAACCCTAAACCCACCCCAAGCCAACAGCAAACCCACAAGTGTGCCCCCAGACGTGGGAAAAAGCTACCGCAAGAATCGGGGGATGCCCGAAAATTGCGGTGTGCTTTTGGCTTGCCATGAAATCAACCCCAAAACGGGTGGCAGTCATGTGGTGCAATTACCATACACTTTCAGGACCAAAACATGAAAAAGACATCGGGTGGTTTTCATTCAGGTTTTCTTGCCTAAGCTTTAGCTTCTTTTAAGGGCCCCACAATTCCTTGAGTGGCCCCTCAAACATGCTTGAATCTGAAGAACAGATCTTTATTCTGAAGAACCCCCTGCAGGTGCGATTCTCTACTGCACGCCACGGCATATGTTGACTCGTGCAATCATTGTGTCTTTGGACTCTGCCAACCTGGAGCACCCGATTTGCCCCTCCTGGCACGAGCATATTCCCATATTCTCGTCCGCGTGTTTGCAGCTAGGGGGTTTTCTTATCAACCAAGTTCGGATCTTCATGACTTTACGCATTCAAGGTTGCTACTCTTTTCCTGTTTTGGCCACCCGGGTCGTAGATGTCCTAGTTGTGGGGAGCTTTCCTTCTACCTCAATTCTACCTCCAGCAAAACAAAGGCCGTCGACTCCCGGACACATGGAGAGGTCGGTTGGCGTGAGGTCCAGCTTCTGAGTGGCGGCTGGCGCTTCACAGCGTGGAAGCGGGCGCCTGGGCGAGGCCGAAGGTCCCATGGGCGGGCCGCGGGCCGCGGGCCGCGGGTTGGGAGAAGACGGACGGGTTTGTGTTGGATGCTCCCGGTGTTTTGAGAATGGCGGGTTTACCTAGTAAATCTAGTAAATGGGCAAGAGGTCGCGTTGGACGGGGTTTGGAGAATGGGAGGGGTCCTTCTTGGACTCCGAAAATAAACAAGCGAGATTGGGATCCATCAACTTAGAGCGTGGCTCCCGTGCTTTTGCTCGCAGCCATCGCCTGAAGTCCAAGGTGTGCAGAGAGAGACGCCACCCTCAAACGTGATTGATGGGCCGCTTGGCACACGGCTGGATATTGTGCAACCAGGTCAGCCAGAGTCAAAATCCATGGGAGGATGAACCTGGCGGATGAATGGGGGGGTGTCCCGTTTTAGAGGGAACCCTTTGCTTTTTGGAGCAACACACCCTAAGAACATGGTTGACATTACCCAGAGTTTTTTGTTTTCGCCCGAGGCTGTTGGACACGGAATGGTCCAGCTGGTGCGTGCCCTACTGCACAGGCAGGATTTGCATCTATTGCCATCAGCAGGACAAGGGGCAGATCGTTGGGTGCACGTCACGCACATCCCCAGAAACTGACAGAGTACCGGCCCTTCATTTGGGAGCATAAAGAGCAAAAACTCACCGGATCCTTGGGCCGAGATGTCGTATGGAGGCACGGAGCACTGGATCACGGTGCAGCTGCCTGCGGCCAGCCATGTGTCCCGGGTTAAGCTTTTCTGGAACCCAGAGTACTACGCGCCCGCTTACAAGGCGGGGGCGGAGGCCGCGGCCCAGCACATTTGGGGTAAAAGTCATGCTCTGTGTGACCAGCGTTATGCCACCCATTGGAAGCAAGACCTCTTGCTGACATTCCCGAATGGCTTCTATGGCCGGGCATCCGGGCAAATTGTCGGAGCCCAGGTTGAGGTTTGCGGACCGGACTCCTGCGAGGGTGTTGTCGAGGAGGTCTCAGCGGCGGACATTGAGATGTTCTGGACTCGCAAGCCGCAGGCGAGGGGCACGGGACGGGCATGCCGAGGCTTGTACTCGCATGCCGAGGAAGTGAAGCTGGGACTCAATGGCACGTACATCAAGGTGACCGCTGACCCCGATCGCTTGTCTCAAACTCAGGGAATGCGTGCCTTGCGACCTCTGAGTTGCTTGTGCCCTGTGCCCTGACTGGATTCTTCCGGGAACTCAGGTCCGATAGGGAGACTCCATCCTGGGCGGGTTTGCGGCTCTACGAAATCGTGGCATACGGGAAAGAGCAGAACTCAACAGCTCCAGACGTGTCCTGGCCGATTGCATCAAGTGCGTAGCTTCCTCACGGGTCGGCAGGTGATCTACCTGGATCGACCGCTCGAGGACGAGCACTGGGGTGGATTCCGCGAGGCCAGCGACGCCAGCGACGCCAGCGACCCGTGCCCGGTCTGGGACTGGGATCGCGATCAGGTGGAGGGGTACTCGCTGGAGATGGCTGCAGAGGTAGTGCCGCGGCGGGCGTGTGAATCGCACCGGGTCCTTTTGTGACACTTGCTTCAATGAAGGGAAGCCGAAGGAACAGCCCCTTTGGAGAAGGACACACCTAATCTTCGGGGCCCGCAATTGTGGTAAGTGTGAACACTGGCCTCTGAGTTCATGTGATTTCTGTCCAACACAGGTCAACTTGAACCGTTCCGTGGTGATCACGGGCGATCATGATGACTTCTTCGTCAGCAATAAAGGCCGGGAGTGGAGAACCATGCTGCACTTGTGGGTGTTGGGCCGAAATGTGCTTTGCGGCCCCCAGCTGTATTTGTATTTGCCGAGGAAACTGGCGACAAGTCGCGTTTGATCTTCCACCCTCTTGTTCAGCTTGCTTTGGAGGGCTGAAGCGTCGTTTTTGTGGTCTTTGGTCTCCAACTTCTTTTCTATTTCATGGGTTTTGCTGCCCAAGGGGCCCCAATCGCGAAGGGTGCAATCGCCACCTTAGTGTTTTTTGTTTGCTTCTCATAGGAAAAACATGTACACACACACACAGAGCGCCATGTTTGAAGGCATTACCGGTATCATCCTTTGATTGCCGACATGGGGTGTGGCTGGTTCAGGTTTGCACACAATCAGCGCCCACGGTGGTATCATGGATGTGCGTTACACTCGCATTGAGTACTGCCAGCGACTCAGTCATGTGCTGTAATCCAAAGACGAGGCTACTTGGGGTTCTGGCTCACCTTCCGTTAGAGGGTTGCTCTGAGGCGGCCAACGGAATCACATGGGGAAGTACTGCCTGCATTTTCATCACGCTGGGCAGTGTCCGGAGTGCATCTTCCTGGGCAATGCAGTCTACCAGCCGCGCTCTCAGTGCTGGAACAGGGGGTATGGGCCCCGTTCAGATTGGAATCTATAACTACAACTTGTGGTCAAGATGGTTGTCCTGTGTGCGGAGCTGCTGGAGAGATTGCCTAGACTTTAGCTGGCTCTGTTTGCACAGTTTTGACCATAAAGGCATCCCAGAAAGCTGTTGAGCCTGCGACAAAGAGTTTTACTGCCTGCTTCCTGAGAAAGGGTGTACTTAAGCAAAGGGACAAAGGAGAAGGATGATATGTGCATCGTTGATGGCGTCCCTGAATGTTAAATGGTTGTTTGTCATTTGGGATTCTCCAATTGTTTAGGTGTTGACCCACTTGGCAGATGAGGTCGGCTCAGATAGGCATCACAGTGCATGGCACACACCGAGCACTCGTGGACAACAACATAATGTGGGACGTATCCTCTGCCGGAATCTACACGGAGGATGGCAACGAGATGTTCAACACGCTAAGTCGCTGAGACAGAAGTCTTTGAGAGATGCCTGGAGCGCTTGCAGCGGTGTCTAAAGACTCACGCGGGTTTTGTTGAGAGTGTGCGTTAGCTGAGGCAACAACGTTGTGATTTGTTCCTGGCACACAAAATGCTCGACAGCCTGGGCCTCACAACTGGACAACGCAGCTGGGATCTACATGCTCCTTGGCGCTTCTGCTGAGCGCGAGCAGATGCAAGTGGTTGACTACATTGCGGTGAAGGGTTTGTAGTTTGTAGGATTCATTCCTGTGCTAATCCTCAATGAAGTGATTTGAGTGCCCTGGGCCATTGAAGCACTGCATCATGACGGACGATTTGAGCTTGCCGACCTCCGATCAGATCACTGAGGATTGGGATGACCAACAACGTCATCCAGAACCGCGTTGCTGGCTTCGAGAATTGCATCTTGTCAATTGCAACTTCCGGATTTCAGGGCTCATGGAAACATCTCTGGCTAGCTGGGGGTCGCCTCGCCCAGGGTTACACTTTCTGACTACCCCAGGGTAGACTTAAACCCAGGGGTGGGTCATTACCCCCAGACAAAAACCCCTGAGTCTAAGTCTATCTTGGGGTAGTCAAAACGTGGAACCCTGGCCTCGCCAATCAGGTATTTGGACCCATGGCTCCATCGCCTTGCAGGGCCAGGGCAAGGCTTTGGGCCGGGTGTGTCCGCAGCATACGCCCTTCGCCACCTTCCGCGGCAACGTTTGCCATGACAACTCTCGCTTCGGGACTGCGATGGGGTTGGCTTGTCAATGGCCTGCAGTTTTGGCTGCGACCGACTCGCAAGTATGTTATCAATGCCAACTTCATGATTGCCATGGCAGACTTTAAACAACTCTGCAATTCGACTTGCTAACTCAGTGCAAGCTGAACCGGTTGAAGAACATGTTTGACATATCCGACATGCTATACCCATCGTTTGGTGCCAACAATTTGACGCTGGATTAAGGAGCAAAGACATCGTTGTGAGATTGATGCAACAGTGACCGGAAGTGAGAGTGGGATGGATGCAACGCAACGCTGCCTGACTCCCTGGCAAGGATTTATTTGGACAATCAGAGGCCGCGCAACATAGAACGCGACACGACGCTCGGCGGTCGAAGCCAATGTGAGGCTGGTGCGCGCACGCAGGTCAAGGATTTTACAGACAACCGTCTATATTAAAAGTCTTAGAGGTAGAAAGGCTTGTCTATTTCCCGTGTCTTTGAGATTCTATTATTGGCCGTTACCTGTCTGTCTTGGAAGGATGAGGTGGTTAGCGAGCGAAGTGAGTGGGAAGGAAGGAATGGGAGATGGGATTCGTTCGTCATCTCGCTTCACTCACCATCTCTCTCACTCATTCACACCCATTCATCTCTCTCACACTGCTTGTGCTCTTGCAAGGAATGGCTTCGTGATTGACATGGGCACCTGCAGCGAGTTTACAGAGGATGGAAGGGATAATGGCCTGAATCCGGCAAATGTCATTGAAGATCAGTTCGACTGGCATAATGAATTTGTGGGACAGCACCCTGCCAGCACATTAGTCTGAAGCCAGACGTACGAGTCGAGAAGTATATCTTGAGGAGTTGTAAGGTTTCAAAGAATAGCATTGTCTTTGTTGTTGCATAACTTGAGTCCTTTGCAATGAGGTGTTGAATTTTCAGCGTTGCCTCTGGAAATCAGATGGGATTCGGGATGGGGACTTTTTTGACTTGTGGTGCAGGTATTCCATGGGTGACATAGCCTTTGTCCGCATGATTGGCGTGAACAACGCTCACAACATGTACTGGAAAGAGTCGAAGAACTTTGCGGATGGACTCTAGGCAAAAGATGCAGGCGGAAGAGCAAGCACACACCGGCGGCAACTTTGATGCCTGAGCGCAGATTTCGGAATGTTTGAAAGTCGGCATGCTCCCCGAGGACAATCGCATCACATCCGTGACTCCTTGTTTTTGAGTGATCCCAACGTGCAGGGCTCAGCGTTCAAAAGGAAAGGCATTGATTCCATGAGAGTCCGGCGCTAGGATGACACTCTGCTTCGAATTGCCTTGTTTGCCGGCCCTGCTGGTCCGCTGCTGGGCTGCGCTTGGCAGGGCTGGGCTTGTTTTGTTCTTTTTGTAGAGCTTGCCTCCAAGGTTCACCTTTCGCATTACCAACACCACCTTTGCTGGTGGAAACTTCGGCTGCGGCGCACTGTGCGCTGCACAGCACTGCGGTCGTGTTGGCGCAGGCCTGGGAGTTGCGCGTGTTCCGAATCTTCCCATGGGCCATGAGCGTTGAGACGACGGGATGTTTTCTTGAGGTGGGCCCTGCAACGTCCAGTACCTGCTCTCCGCGGTCAACTTTTCACAGGCGTGCACCGTGGAATCCAACCCTCGGGCAAACCGAGACAATGTGGGTTTGTGTTCAACATTGGTAAAGTCCCCAAGATGGTTGCCTTCGTTTTAGTTTTCCTAAAACAACCCCCAAGACGGGACGCACTCATCCCGTTTGGACACTACATGTTTGCCTGTGCTGGGCCATTCAGGAGCAAGTCGTGAAGAATCCTTAGATCATGTGTGTCTAGAGCCTGCAGCAATTTCAGAGAGGATGGATGCTTTGGCATGCAGATGAATACACTGGTTCTAGCTGGCGAGAGAGCCTTGACCATCTCGCGGGTTGCCAATTTCGGGCCTATTTCGTCAGACTCGATTTCGCCTTAGCCTTGGCAGGTCCGGTCGGAGGACCGGAAGATCGTGTTTGGCACCGGCGCCGAGCCGATCGGCTACGTGCAGCCCATCTTTCTGGCCACCGACGACTCCCTCGGGGGATACAGGCCCAAGTCGCAGACGCGTCGGAGGTGAGGAAAAGGTTCCAGGCTTGATATTTTTCATGTGTGTCTTCGGAGCATCTAGGAAGGAGTGGATCTTTTGGTGACTCCTTCCCCATATCAACTTCTGCCACATGCAAGAGCAACACGGAGTGGCTGGGCCGCTTGGCCATCACGATTGTGGAGTGCTGCCGTGTTTCGCTAGAATTTCTGCGCAGATCCATGGTGAGCCAGCACCTCAACGGCTTTGCCGATGTTTCGGGCTGCGAGGCGCGGTTGCCAAACACCTGCGTGGGATTGGCTCCGGCGACCAATCAAACGTCTATCTTTTGGCGTACAGATACCCTGCTGAATCCAAAGTTGCTTTTCGCTTCAATTCCGCCACTGCGAAGTGGTTGGAAAGCAGTTTCTCTCTTGCCAGGCCACCAACGGCACGGAGTGGGACGGTGCCGTGGCGTGCCACCTCCACGTGCGACGCCTGAACCTGTGGAGCGCAGACATGGGTGAAGTCAGGATCAAAGGCCGGGCATCTCGTGGCAATGGGACAGGACCCGGGTGTCCGAGATTCGGCGCTGTCAGGCGCCGGGTACTACGTGCAGGAGAACAACAGCACGGTGGTGCAGGGCATGAACGCAGGGAAGCTTCTCTATGAGCCGATGCACGGGGGCTATGGGGGCATGGTGCTGTTGGGGGAGAACTACTCTCTGGAAGGAGCTGAAGCGGGCAGTGGATCATGGATTGTAGGGGTCGGCAGTGTTTCTGCTTTCCATGCTGGTTGTGTTGGTTCCCAAGACACACATGGCAGCGGGTCAAAAGCAATGCTACCATTTTGGGGTAGGTGCACCACCCATTCTGGTCTATTTTGGTGGGGGTTGGGATGTTCACTGGGGCTACGGGATTTTGGCCCATGGCCACATGTAAATGTGCAGCAACTCTGCAATGGGCAGGAGAATTCCGCGGAGACGTCGCCACGGAATTTTCGGACTTGGTGTTGGAGACCACCTTTGGACTGAACGAAGTCATTAACCTTACTGTTGGCGATGAGACTTGCCAGGCGCTGTACGGGCAAACACGTGTGTGTCGGCTTTCCTTGGTTGTGGATGGGCGGTTTCGTGGTACCTTGTTAGCCGCCGTGGCAACCACTGAAGTAAAAAGAGTTCAGAGACGCCGACAGCCGCTTTCGCTGTATACTGATACCAATAGTTTGTTAAGAAGTCGCTGAAGAGTGCTAA